TTCCCCGCGCCGCCAGCATGGCCAGAGCCAGCAGAGGCTGGAGGGGACATGGGGCAGCTGGCAGGAGAAGGGAGGCTGGGCAGGAGCCCTGGGCAAGGTCACCAGCAAGCCCATGGCCTCGCTCAGAGGTGGCCAAAAGCCAACCAGGGAACCGTCGTCACCCCATGTCAAGGCGAGGACGCGGCCTCTGGGAGGAAAAACCCGCGGGACCAGGGTAAGCGGCGTCCCAGGGTGGCAGCCGGTCCTCTCTCCTGGAGGGAGATGCCGCAGGGAGGGACGGGCAGGGACGAGCCACCGCACGGCACGGCATTAAACCGGAGGGGTCGGATGGCCCCTTGCTAAAGCGACCTTTAAAGCACTCCTGGGAATGGCGACGCACAAAGGCTGATGCAGGCGCTGGAAAAGCCCTGCGACCTTGAGCAACGACCTTGGCGGTGGCATCCTTGCAGCGGGGGTCACCCATCACCCCGAGCCAGGCTGCGGTCCCCTGGGCGGCTCAGCGGCTTCCCCGGGCATGCACACTGAGGCTGGGGACCCAGCACCCCGCACCCCGCTATGGGCACAGCATCCCCTTTCCCAGCCGGGACCAACCGCCTGCACGGGGCAGCCCTACGCCACCTCCATCCCCATCCGCCCTCCATCCCCACAGAGGAGCAGCTGGACCACGCAAAGCCGTTCCCCTTCCCTCCCGTCCTCTATCCATCACCAGCTCCAGAGTTGGAGACCGGGGGTAATTTTCCCCTCTGCACTAAGTAGGGTTTTCTAAAAGAAGGGAAGCGAGAGCCCATTATCCGGCTCCATCGCCCACCCCCACGGCTCCCTGCAGGGCATGAAATAACCACCTGCCAGCTCCCTGTAGCCCCGCGCCGTGGCAATGATATCGCAGCTTCCCCTGTCACTATTGTCAGAGCAAAATTTAGATACCTGGTAATGAGGAGGTTTAATATGACAGATGAGAGGTTGACTCATTAAAAAAAAAAAAAAAAAAAAAAAAAGGCAAGAGGAAAACAACCAAAAGAAAATCAGGGGGAAGGCAGGGCCCCCCCAGCCAGAGGGAGGGCTCCCCCCATGACGACATTATTCATGACATCACCCCAAAGAGCACCGAGCGGGGCTGGGGGAGGTCACTCTGCCCCCACCTTGGGGCACCTCCCTGGGGACACCGATTGTGAAGTGGGGACCTCCAAAACCAGGGGAGGAGGGCTGTAAACGGGGGGTATGGCCCCCCCACCCTGAGAGCCACCGCCAGGGAGGGGGCCTCCACTTCGGGGAGGGAGGTATTCCACCCGGGGGGGCCTTTCTCAGGGCAGGGAGCCCCCAATAAATAGCCAATCTGCAGCCACAGCTGCAACCCCCCCCCGCCGCACCCAACAGCCCCATTTTTGGGGCTCAGAGACCCCCCCATCCCCCATATCAGGGGGGCGGGGCTGGGATCGCAGGACCCCACCCAAAGCACCACAAGTCCTGGGGTCAAACCGCTCCGAGGCTGGGGCTGTGTTGGCTGCAGCCACCCATCCCTGGGCATCAGGAGGGACCCTAGCACCGAGGGGCAGGGGGGGTGAAGCTGTGTGCCCCCCTCACCCCCAAATCCAGCAGGGTCCCAGCCATGGCCCCCAGGTGCATTCACCCACTGTTGGGGGAAAGTCTGGGGGGGGCCACAGCTGCCGTGGGGGAGGGAGGGCTCCCCCAGCTCAGCCCCCCCAAAGTTTGGGGCAAGTCCTAACAAAGTCCTGTTTGTTAAAAAGCCCCCCCCGCTCCTGGAAGGCACAGCACCCAAGGGGCTGGAGGGGGGGGTCAGCACCATCCCTGCCGGCAGGGGGCCGGCCCGGGGGGGGGGGGGACGCCCC